ATATATAGAAAGAAACATTTCTGCACAGGAAGTTGATGCACTAAGAGCAGGAGTAAAACATCCCCCCGAACAATCGCCCCACTGCAAGCACAGGAAGTTGATGCACCAAAGCAGCAGCAGCAACGACGACAACACAAAAACACGCACACAAACCCACCAGCATCTTTCACCTCACGTATGGGATTTTTGTACAGGAAGCTGATGCACCGGAGGAGGGAAAGGGGTGTGTGTCTAAGACAGAGAGAGAAAGAGGGAGAGAAAGCTAGAAGCAGCAGCAGCAGCATCCCAAAGCAAGGAGCCTTTTCTTTCCCTTCCTCCCTTTTGCACAGGAAGTTGATGCAACAGGGCAGCAAGGGCTGAGAGATGGAGGGAGGACCAGGAGAGGGGGAAAATAACTCCACACTTGGCATCCTAACAATGGAAAAAGCGCTGCCATACCGAGGGTTTCAGAGCCTATTAAGACTGCAGGTACTTTACTTGGGAGGCAAACGTCGTTGCGAGGAGTGAGGCTTACTCACAGTTGTTGTATGCCTCCAAATCTTTTCCCGACTTATGGCTACCCTATTATGGAGTTTTCTTGACAGGGTTCAGAGGAGGCTGAGAGAGTGGAACTTGCCCAAGGTCATCCAGTGGGTTTCCATGGCCAAGCTGGGAATTGAACCCTGGTCTCCAGAATCAGAGTCCAACAGTCAAACGACTACACCACACTGGCTCACCTACTCAGAAAGCTCTTCCACAGCAAGAATTTCAGAGCTTGTAAGTCTGCTGATACTTGGCAACAAATACAATTGAGATGAGTGAGGCTTACTCATAGTGCTGCTACTACCATTACTACTACTACTATTGAATAAAAATCTTTAGGGTGGTGATGTACCTTACACTAGAGGAAGGGCACATGGGCGACATATCAACAACCAGAAGGAAATTCCGTACTAAAGAGTAGGAGCAAAACAAGAGGGACAACCACAACAGTGCCACAGGACTATTTGAGCTTTGTTGTGAGTTCTATCCAGAACCAACAAGCTACTCATTTAGATACCAGTTGCATTTTCTTCAGTTGCATTTTATTTTTCTCCTTCATACTATTAAAATGCAGCGGGCTTTTAGACTTAAAAACAACAACAACACACTAGCTAATACTACAATTTCTGTTTCACTCTCACAAGTTCCTGACAATTAACATTTTATACCACTTTCTTAAGCATCTTAAATGTAAAGTCTGTTATGGAAAGTTCTTCTAAAGTTCATGTGTTATGGGAACTGTGAAACAATGGAAGTTGTGGGTCTTTTTAAAGAAAAGGTTTAAGGTAAGGTTCAGTGATTTAATATGGATCATACCGTACTGGTATAGATTAGGCAACCCATGATAGGGTTGCCTTAGGGTTGCCATAAGTCGGAAACAAAATCACACAACAACAACAATAGATTAGTTTATGTGCTTGGAAACTGATTTTAAAAACATGGTAAAGCCACTACTTCTGATGTCAACATAACTGACACAGTCCAGCTGAAGAGGATAAATGGAATTTAAGGCCACAGAGAGTGAAATTTCATTCTATTGCTTCCAGTGGGTCACACTAACTTTTGCCAGATTGTAACAAATAGAACTTATTTACCGTTTTAAAGCACTTATATATCACTGCCTATTTTTAAATCCTTAAGTCTTTTATAAAAGATTACAACATGATGAAGCTACAAAATTGGCAATACTACACATTACAAGACTCCATAAGATTAAGTTTAAAATAACTTAAGTCAATAATTAGGAAGAAAACTGCTTCTTACATTTTTTTAAAAAAAAATTGAAAATATATTATCAGTGCTTGATGGTGCAGAGAAGGCTGAATGGGCAATTGTGGTGGGGATTATGAGCCAATTTTCAGCTGCAGGATCCTCTGGGGGCTTCATTGATGGTCCAAGATTTAAAAAGATTTTAAAACAAACAAAAACCAAGAATGGCCAGGTATCCATTTAAAATGTGAATTGCTTTGAGGAAAATCTATTTTCCCCTTTTTTATTATTATTTTAGCCAACTGGAAGGTTGAGGGCCACAAAACCGCCAGAGGGCTATATGCTACCATAGGGCCACATTATGCTCACAAATTCTCTAGACTAGAGCAAGGGTAGGGAAATGCAACCCCTGAGTCACTCTTATGCAGTTTGCAAGACCCCTGGAGACCCTCCATTGATATATATCACACACACACACACACAAATTTTCTAGTGATCTTTGCACCTAAAAACAGCCCTAGACCACCTAAAACTGAGTGCAAATGTGGTGGTTTCATCTGACAACTCCTAGATTCCCCAAGTACCGGCCCCAAAAGATAAATCAAGAACAACTTAAAACAGATGGAAAATGGAAGAAAATGGCAACTAGAACTGATGTCATGTTACTTTCAGTGCACTTCAGTGCAGAGTGCAGCCTTTGGGGCAGGAGACATATAGTAGTTGCCTACCTGTGCTCTAATAGATCATTCTAAAAGGTGTGTATAATCACAGCAAAGTCATGTTACTCTATTATCATATTGACAATGGTCAATGTAGGGGCTACCCCAGAACTGTATGATGTTCCTCCTTTTTCTAGATCCAAAAACTACTCACAACAGTGCCTTCATTTTATTGGGATTCAGACGATTGGTACTTATCTAGCCACCACTCATCTGTGCATCATGGATTCAGATGCAGCAGAATGTTGGCTGTCCTCATATTCATGATACTTTCTACAGAACTCTTATGACTATCCCTCTCTCTCATACACACACACACCAACATTCACAAGATGATAAATAGCACTGGGTATAATATAATATAATACCTTGCAATAAAACTGCATCTTCACATTCTGCCTTCAACTTGTCTAACACCAATGCATACCTGAAGGAGCACTTGCCCATCTTAACAGCTGTCATCTGAAATTTCTCAGTGATCTTCTTGTCAATCCCACCACATTTTTAAATAACACCACCAACAGCGAGGGATTTTCCCATGTCGACATGCCCAGTGATGATTTTGATGCAGGACTTTTCCTTTCCATTTTAGATAATTATTAGGTGGCTATCTTCCACTTCAGATAAAGCACCTCTGAAGCAGTGGCAAACCCTGTAGCAAAAAGACCAAAAAAAAAAGGAAAAAAGAAAAAAAAGGCAGAGTTACATTCTTGATAAAGAGTGTTAATTAGGCCAATTCTATCCCATATCAAGGCTAGAACCCAGACTGGAATAGGTTTAGACAATCAGTGTCCTCCAACAATGTTTCTTGCTAAGTTACAATCAAAAGGAGAAAGAATTTGTAAGTGGTAACTTTTAAACCACTTGGTCCCAGGAAAATTCTTCAGGACTGATTGCATTAGTGACTCTTTAAGGAGAACAGTCTCCACTATCCATTTACCACACTCAACCCACCCTAGTCCACCCTTCTCTGCTAACTTAAATCAGTGATGATAGGGAAAAAGTTGAGAGGGCATGCAGTTACTCAAACCAAGATGAGAAACGTGTCCAAGTGCTTAAACCACAGCATTGGAGCTGATCCCCCACCCAAACTGGACAGGACAGAGCACCGAACACCTCACCAAAATTTGATATATCACCAGTATTAAGATTTATATGAAGACAGAAGGCCTCAGAAGGATTGCAACATACTGCTAATTGGTAGAGTTAAATAACCCCCAAACCATCCAGAATCTCTCTTCTGGATATTTATTTGGAAATGCAATAGAGCCATCTTTTCTGCTACCCTCCATGACTAAACAGATAAGACTATACACTCTTAGGGCCTCGGCAGACGACTAATAGAGTCATCTCTGAGGCCTGGAAGAGGAGGGGCAGCCGCACGAGCGGCGCCCCTTCCTGTTCCCGAGGTTGCCCTCGGAGCTGCCGGCCCTCCGCTTATGCCATGTGTGTTCTAGCCATTGTCCAGTCTGTTTAATTGCTTGGAGCTGTTCTGAAAATCAGGGAGCCAACTTAGGTTCCATAGTGTCAGAAAGGGCATTCAGGAACAATCTTGGTAACAGCCTTATAGATCTCATCAATGAGATAGGAGCATGACGGCTCAGATGCAAGCTGTATTATAATGCTTATATCTCACTATTGGCTACATTGGTTAGGAGTGATGAGAGTTGTCTTCCAACAACATCTGGAGGGCCACATGTTACAGCAACTCCAAGGAGTCTTTCCCAGCTCCTCCTGAAGATGCCAGAAATTGAAATTGGGATCTTACTTGTACAAAACATGTCCTCTACCACTGAGTTATGATCTTTCTCCAGTTTGTGAAAGACTGGACTTTTTCCCTTGACAATAATAATAATAATAATAATAATAATAATAATAATAATAATAATAATAATAATATTTATTTATATCCCGCCCTTTGTAAACCCAATCAGGGCGGCTTGCAACCATAAAAACATATACAATACCCAGACCCAACAACCCCTCCCCCCCTTAAAACAGTATTAAATCAATAAAAATTAAAAACAAACAATTCAATTCAATAAAAACAGTACATCAACCAATATATATACCCAGCGGCAGTGATCCTAACCATCTTTAGATGGGGCCATGCAAGGATCACTGGGGTGGGAGTATCCGAGGCCAGAATAATTAATCTGGAAAGCACAAAGATGACTGAAACTGGAAAAGCATTCTCGTAACTAAAACCTTTAACCTGTTAAACCATCCCACACTAAGACAAGCAACACAATGCTGTATACTCTTAAGGTCATTGATACTTTTGGGATCTGGTGCTATCTTTGTATTCTTAACATAGTTAGAAATTTTGGTACATAAATCTAAATGAGTGTGCTTTTGCAAGCAAAGGGCCAGTTTCATAAACCACCAGTTTTAAACATCTGCAGAAAGCCTGTGATTATAAAATCTGTATTGCTATCAAATTACTCTCATCCCTTACTCATCATGACTACATTACAAGTCTAGTTTCACAATGGAGTAATAAGCTCATCTTGGTTTCTTACAACATCTGTAGTGATTACACAGAAGCCATAATGGAGTGGGGGGTATACTTCTGTTCCAGGCTACTTTACTAATGGAGTCCTAAAGACCAGTGGATTTACATTAGATCAGTCATTCCTATGCAGAGGCCTACTAAATCAATTTACTAAACTGACTCTAAACTAGTTTTACTCTTGGCATAGTTCATGTGGCAGCATTCATAGTATACAATTGTTTCCTATGTCATCATTGGTCCTTCCTTTATACCAGGGATGGGAACCTTTTAGAGACTGAGGCCCTAAGCAGACGACTAATAAAGTCGTCTTCTGGGCAGAGAAGAGGAGGGGCAGCCGCACGAACGGCGCCCCTTCCTCTCTCCGAGGTCGCCCCCAGATGCGCCGGCTGTCCACACGACCGGCGCATTGGGGATGACCTCACGGCGCAGCGCCCACATGCGCTGCGCCGTTTGAGTCAGAGAAAGTGCGCCCGCCGCTTTTGCGGCGCACTTTCTCTGACATCTAAAAGGAGCGCCAATTTGGTGCTCCTTTTAGAGTCGCCAGCGGTGCACCTGGATGCGGAGGCTGCAGCCCCGCGGCGCTCCGTTCGGCGGCGGCTCCGGGGCCTCCGTCTGCTGAGGCCCTGAGTGCCCAAACTGCAACCCCAAACCCACTTATTTATCGCAAGGTGCCACATCCCTCTGGCTCTCTAGTAATGAACTCTGGCAAACTCTGTGCAAGGGTGACAGAGTGCTTGCCCACAGAGA